ATGGCTCTATTTGCATTTTTTGGTACTAAATCTTAGAGAACCAGTGTTTGCTTATTCTTTGTCGTACATCTCAATTTGGACCACACATGTAAAGTTCTAACAGCATGAGTGGCTAAAAGCTGCTGCTGAATTTAAATGTTCCAGATACTGTTAGAATTACAGATGTACTGAGAAAAATCAGATGAGAGAAGAGGTGTACAGAATATGTGACCCTGGATATGGGTCATGAAAGGGGCAGAATAGATGTTGATGGAAGGAATGAATATCTAACATGAGAAGTGCTAGATTTTGAAATGAATTTTACTGAAAATGGTAATAACAGTTCCAGTTATTGAACAGGTTAAATGTACTTCAGGTTACTATTTTTAAAAGTTGGGGGTGGGTAGCAGGTAGTACGGAAGTTAAATACTGGTTTCCAAATGACCAACCATGGTTCAAGTCCTGGATCTAGTGACTTACTTTCTCAATTTCTCTCTCATTTTGTATCTACCTCTGCTGATCACATGTGCCCTATAGCAAAGTAAATACTAATACTAATAAATGTAATTAAATAAATGATTCTTTAAGAAAAAATAAATTTGGTATACAATTTAAGGAGTATGTATAAGTTGATTTGTTATTCTTACCATATTTTATAAGAAATTGGACAAAACCAAATAGTTATTTAATATAACCAAAAAGTATGCTGCTGAAGAGTAATATTTTAAGATAACATATAGAAATAAAATCCTGTGACTTAAATATGTCAAAAACAACCCTTTTTGGCGATTCACAGTGAACCCCAACATACTAAATTTTCTTGAGTGCCTTGTAAATAAATGTTTTAATTTTGCTTAATTCAGTCTTCTCAAACTTGTTGGGCTAAGGGTCTTATTTTCGCAGGAAGACTGATAACACCCATGAAACTGGTGTTCCATGGAGCATATGCTTGAGAGTACTGCTTTAATATAGTTTGTCTTCTCACAAGTCTGTAAGATTTATTTGAAGAACGTTTTAGCACAACTTCTAGAGTTTAGGAATACTTTCTAATTATATTGTTCTAATTGCATAGTCAGTCTGTCACATTTAGCTAGATGATGACATTTATTCATTTATTCACTGAAATTACAACCTATCTTCTCATCTCTGGAAATATATTTTTCGTGAACCACAGCTGCTTATGTGATTTCTAATGCCTCACGTAAATTGATAAATGATAGGTGCATTACTTGGTTTGTACCTCATTGCATATTCTCCAGTTAAAAGCCCAGGAATATTTGCAGTTATTGCCTGATTATCCACTGATTTTAATGGGTTTTCAAAAAATTATGAGAGGCTATCAATTTTTCATCATTTGTTCTTTAAAGATTGTATAACTACTGAATGTTCACGAGCTACTAGCCTGCAGCTTGTCTCCAGAAGCAACTGTAATCTACTGATACTCTTAAAGGAGACACAGATGATGCCATGATTTGCTACATGACTCTACTTATAAATTTTAATCGCTGGCCTAGAAAAATCCACCATGAAGACTGAGAAAATTGCCCCCCAAGATGAGAATAATATACGAGAAATACTAGATACCATCACACATCCAAACATCTGGATAATTGGTATCCCAGAAGGCGAAGAGACTCATAAAGGCATTGACAATCTATTCCATGAAATCCTGCAAGAAAACTTTCCAAACCTAGAGAGGCAGTTAAAAATCTAGTCTTAAGACAGAAAAAGGACCCCAAATAGAATCAACCCAAGAATATCTTCTCCAAGACACATTATAGCCAAATTGACCAAAACCATAGACAAAAACAAGATAGTAAGATTGGCAAGAGAGAAACAGCAAATTACCTACAAAGGATATCACATCAGGATAACAGCAGACCTCTCATGAGAAACAATGTGATTGAGGATAGAATGGGGAAATATATTCAAAGTGTTAAAAGCAATTTCAGCCAAGAATAATGTACCCAGAAAGATTATCTTTCATATGGAAAGAAAAGATAAGAACATTCTCAGATAAACAAAACCTGAAAGAATTTACCAGCACCAGACCAGATCTCCAAGAAATTCTCAAAGGAGTGCTACATTAGGAAAATTAAATGCAGACACACAGAAATAAGAGTTCAGGACCAGCAGTTAGCGTAATGACTATGTCACTGAACTCCCATATAGTCGACCGTGGTTCAAGTCGTGGACCCAGTGGCTTAAACTCATGCCAGGCGTGTGTGCGTGCGTGCCCAAGATCCTGAGAGGAGAAGGGATTGCATCATGGCCATCCCCTCTGGGGAGTGATTTCTTGCTTTCTGTCTCTCTGTTTCTCTGTCTCTGTCTGTCTGGAAAATGCATATGCCCTGTAGTAAAAACCTCTCAAAAAAAAAAAAAAAGAAAAAGAAAGAAATAAGAGTTCAAAAACTAAGAAAATGGCCAACTTAATCATAGGGAGAAGTCTGAAGTTGAGTATTATATCCCAGAATTTAATCAGGAAGATCAAACCGCAACAAAAGATAGATTATAGTACATAAGGATGAACTGGTGAAATAGCATTTTATAAATTTTGACTAAAACATTGCTGATTATCTTCTAGGCTTTGTTGTCCAGTTTTAAGAATTTTTGTCCTGTCTTCAGTTGTCGATAGGTACATGTACCTACAATTTAAACAGAATCCTAACCTGTTTCCTGGATTTAAGTTTTAAACAAAGTTCCTTAGCATTTCTTTGATTTATTAAAGTTAAAACTGCTTTTCTTGAAATTACCAGATGAACTTGCTATTGAAAGTAGTTAGATTATTTAAGAAATTGTGTGACCGATAAAATGTGAGGGGAAAAGGAATGGAAGACAACTGTAGACACCAGAGATAGTGTGAGAAGAGGGTGGGAAAGGGCAGAGGGTCAGAAATAGGGGATATATATATATATATGTATATACTATATTGTGTATATATATATATATATATAACTAGAAATGGAAAGTTATTGACAATAATATGCATCATTAAGCCACTATGCAGTATATTCTAGATAGGAAATCAAATTTTGTATGCTGTGATGATGCTTAGGGAATGAATGTAAATTAATTAATAAAATATTTCAGGAAAAAAATCTAAAACTGTTTCTCTTGAAATTAAAAAAATGCATTAAAAATACCTATTTGATGACTGCAGTAAGCTATATAGCCCCAGCTAGATGCTACTTTATAGTATGTTCATTCTATTCACTGAGGTTTATGCCTGAAGTCAGACTTGTGTTCATGGATATGTATATATCAGCTGTGCTTGCTATTGGAAATATTTAGATTAATAAAGATATTTAGTGAATCAATAAAATGGGGAGGGAAAAGGCATAGAAAGCAACCATGGATACCAGAGACAGTGTGGGAGGAGGGTGGGAGATGGCAGAGGATGAGAGATAGGGAATCAAGGATGCAAAAAGAAGCAAAATATACAGGAAACAAGAAATGGAAAATTATTTGTTGATGATAACACCTATGTTGATGTGCTCGATTGAGCCAATACACAGTGTATTCTGGATGGAAAATTCTCATTTTGTATGCTGTAGTGATGTACAATGAATGAATGTAAATAAATTAATTTAAAAAATATTTATGGCAGACTGGTTGATTCTTCTTTCTTATTTATTGTTCTCGTAGGTTCTGTACTGACCATCAAGAGAAGTATTTGCCCAAAATCAATTTCAGGTGTCTTATTTATTTTTCCAGCTGATGTCCAGAGGCCTACCTGTGTATGAGAAAAGGGGCCTATTACAGTGACTGTTTAGACATTTTCTATCCCTTATTGCCTCCCTTCAGGGTAGAAAATAGTTATAACAGATCATCGAGGCTATAAAGTAATGTGGAGGTTAGGATGCTGGATCCTACATGGCCGACTCTGAAGTTTGAGTCCTGGACCTGGTTGCTTGAAAAATATGCTGAGTGCTTATCATGTGTGCCCAAAATTCTTCTGAGAGGAGGGATTACGAAGTGGCCATCCGTCCAAAGTGTGATTATTTCTCATTTTCCCTCTCTGTCTGTTTCTCTCTGGAGAGCTCATGCTCCCTATGGAAAAAAATCTTAAAAAAAAAAAAAAAAGAAAAAAAAAAGACGTTCTACTGAAACAACAATTAAGATGTATTCTTCATGTGAATAATGGAATGTATAAACATATGATCTATTTCATATGCATCATTTTACACTTTTATTTTTAAGTTTTGTCATAGGGTACATGTGCTCACATCAAAATCCCTTCTCTGCCATTCTACTCTCAGGATTTTGGGCATGCATGTTTTTCAAGCTGTTGTGTCTGGGACCTGAATTGTGTAGTTGGCCGTGGAGGACCCAGCTGCCTTAACCTCCAGATCACCTGCTGGCCCTCATTTTGTGCTTTAAATATGAGTTTTTCTTTATGTGACCCAGATAAAATCCTTAGGACTTTCTCTCCAAACTAATTTATCTTAATGTCTAAGCTCTATGTGTCTGTCTACTGTTATTTTATATTTCTCTTTTGAGTAGTATTGTTTTTAAAATGTTCATCACATTAAGAATACATTTTAATCAATCTTTGTTAAAGGTCTGCCCTCTCTGGGATTGAGTCAAGTGTCGCCTTCTACTGTTCTGTGTTTCTGCAATACTTACGCTTAGTTTTAATTTCTCCTACTCAGTTTTGCCTATAATTAAAATCAATGCAGCCTTTTTGTCAGTATCTTGTTTTTCCTATGCCCTAATCTTAGCATAGTAAAGAACTAGATTTCCCGCTTACTACTAATCAGGGGAATTCCATCCCTTCTTTCGACTCCATGCTCTGCACTCCTCAATAACCCAAGTAACAGCTGTGCAGGTGAAAGGTCTTTTGTTAAAAAGAAGGAAATTGAGTAGCCGTTTCCTCTTTCCTTCTCCGAGCTGCTTCTGTGGGCAAGTATTTGATACCTTAATTTTTTTCTGTTGACATTGTTTTAGAAGAATCCACAATTGTTTTGCAGAACTTAACTTTGAAAATCTACCTACTCACACAAAAATTAAAAAAAAATAACATTTTAAAATTGTGCATATAGGAATAAACAGAAAAGTTTCTTTGTACAGATGCCAACAGAGGTGAAGATTGTTTAGCTGCTAGTGTGGAAAGGAAACTTTCAGGCGAGTAGGAGAAGATACTAATGGGAATCATAAACTTGAATGCACTGATGAAGCCTGGCATCCTCGTCCAGAGGAAGACAAAGGGAGTGGTGGCCACTGCCTTAGAACACAGAGAGGATGGGAAGTCAGAGGAGGAGGACAAAATGAAAGAGAGGCAAGAGCCTGAGGATGCTGAAGGAACTGGGCAAGAGGCTGACAATGTGCAGAAAGAGCTTACACCTGCCACTAGAACAACTTCAGTTGTTGATAGCCAGAAAAGACCATTAAAAAGAGTGACATTTTCTAGGGAGGTAATTGTTATGGATCTTGGGAACCAGTACCCCAGACCTCAAAGATATACTCAAAAACATAAAGAGAGAAAATGAAGCTCCAAAAGTCTGAGAGTGAAAGAAATGTCACCTGTGACCGACAGTGAAATGACAGAGGGTACAAAATCACGTGGAAACATCAAAATAATGGGGAAGTAAGCAAATACCCTTTTGTAGAAAGAAGTGGACCACATGCAAAATTCTGTAAGTAAAATACTCAAGAGCTTGAATATGGGTTTTAAACAATTTAAATCCGAGTTCAATACATTTGTATTAAGTGTCAAAATTGTGCATGTAGTATATTGCTTTCTAAAATCAACTTTTGATGTTTAAGCAGTGATCTCTGTATGCATAGATTATAGCTAATTTCTGTATGAGTTTCAAGTATAAAATTAAAAGCATAAAAAGGAGCAAACTCTCCTTGATTGTATGATTTTGTTGGGGGGATAGTTTGGAAAAGTAGGCTAACATCATTATGTAAACATTCCATTTATATTAACCTTTAGTTGATGATCAAAAGGTAAAGGATGTAAAATGGTTAAAGTTGTTTGTGCAGAGCCCAGATGCCTGCCATAAACTGAATTTAACAAAGAATTGGTGTTCCAATACCACTGACATTGCGAATAGAACCACCTGATTTCACATAGATAGTATTTAAGCCTGCCAGAATTTTCTATGATATTCATAGTACTAATGAGAAATAGTTTTTGTATGAGGAGTGGCATAGTTTTCATAAATTCATTGGGTAAGTAGGTAAAATTGTTTGAATCATATGTTCTAGAACTGTAATGTTATTTAACTTTGTCATTTTTTACTGTTAAAATAATTTTGTATTTCATAATCATGCTTTTACATCATTGAGTTAGCATTATGATAACAATATAGTTATATTGAATTATGAGAGAGATGTGTTTTTTATTTATTTAAATTGTCTCGTGTATTCTTGCACATTCAACATTTACATTTTCATTAAATGATCTGCTAAGTGTTAATAACAGTTTCTAGAAAATTTTTTATGCATAGTGGTATAAGATAGTGGGTGGGACTTTAGTCATTTTTTTATCAACAGAATAAAAAATAAACTCCTTGAAGAATTTCTCAAATTTCTTCTTGTAAGGGAAAAGCATTTTAAATCTTCATGTGTGACAAGATCAGCAAATCTTGAAGTCTGAACTTTAAATCCTGTAAGCCTAGAAATTTGTGGATTCTCAAATCCCTGTTCACTTTATAGCCATTTGTAAGAGTCTTATCTTTACCATCTTTCCCCTTCGGTTCAGTCCACCCCTGGTTGGTCCTGAAATAGTCTAGAGTCAGTAGGATGTTTCACTGCAGTTTTAGGGAAGGAGAATGGTACATAACTGGTACCCATAACATAAGAATGAAGATTCTGAAGTGTTGTTCATAGGCATTGAGGGAAAAGAACTGGTGTTCTGACTCTGGTGTCTCCAGTGTATTCTGTTAGATATAAGATAAGCAGCCCCAACACAAGAGAGCCATTTGCTTTTGCTTTAAATGGGGGAGTGGCAAAATCCCATTGAAGAAGAGCTGGTGTGATGGAGGTAATCTAGCAAGTCTTTTTTTTTTTTTTTTTTTTTTGGAGAGGTTTTTGCTATAGGGCACATGCACTCACCACAAAGACAGAGAGAGACAGAGAGACAGAAAGCGAGAAATCACCCCCCAGGGGGGATGGCCACCACAATCCCTTCTCCTCCATTCTCTTCTTGAGATTTTGGGCATACACACCCATGCTCCCGGCATGAGTTTAAGCCACAGGGTCCGGGCTTCTAACTCTGGTCGACTACTCGAGAGTCCAGCGACATAGCCATTATGTTAACTGCTGGTTCTGCAATCTTAAAAGCAGAAGGAAGCAGAGTATCTTTTTTCATGAGACAAATTGTCTTAGTGAAATGTCAACTAGATATTATCCTTTATTTGAATGCTCCCATCATATACTTGCTTTCATTAAAGACAACTATTTTAAGATCCATCAACAAGTTGGACATTCTCCTGGATACTCTTGGATTTGCCTAACTTAAACCAAAGCATCGTAAAGTCCAGAGACTCTTTAAATGATCAGAATAAGATACCAGCATTTTGAATTTCTAAGTATTCACTTAAGAAGCCAACATTTTGAACACCACTCAAAAAAATCCACATTGGTTTGGGTTGTCATGTATGTCAATATAAAAATTGATTTTGTTTAGTTAAATGTGTGATAGAAACTAATTTAAATATCCAATAATCAGTCCATTTTCACTTAGAAATTTTTTTATTACTTTGAATATTAAAATGTCGATAATTCCATCTTAAAGCTCTTTACATTTTCTGCTTTTATTCACATCAAGTTTACTTTCTTTTTTTCTTCTTATTAAGAGATTATAGACCTTCTCTCATACCAAATATGTTTGAAAGATTGATTTTCTTAGGTTTTAAAAGAATATATTGAAAAAGTAGAAAATAGTTTCAATTCTGAATAAGCTGTATTAAACATTAAATCACACTAAACAGTTGTTTACCAAAAATAGTCCATCTCTGACTTTCTGTAAATTAATGATATTTGGGGCATTTTGAATTTTTAGCTGCAAAAGAGTGTTAATGTACTATATGTCTGACAGTGACAAGTGCTAACGAGACCAGTAAAGCAGGATGAAGACTAGGAGTGCCGTGGTAATTGCATTTTACGTAAGATGTTCAGGAAATGTCTTTCTGAACAGGTAACATTTAAACAGAGGTCTTTTGGTGGCAGATTTGTGGGAAGAATGTTCTGGGCAAAGTGAATATTAAGTGTAAAATTCTCTCAATAAGAGGGTGCTTGTCCTGTTAAAGAACGAGCAAGGATAGTGTAACTCTGACAGAGCGGTTGATGAGAGAAGCAGAGAAGGCCCAGTGGGGGAAGTTAGTTTATGTAGGTTTTTGTAAGGATTTTGGCTTTTATTCTGTGTGATATGAGGAAGGTTGTGAGTGTTTTCAGAGAGGATCAGCATGAAATGACGTCTGATCTAACAGGTGCACTCTGGCTTCAGGGTTGAAAATACCCTGATCGCAGTGGACACAGGATAGCAGTGGAGACAGAGTCACAAAGAATTGCTAAAGGATTGCTGTGAAGAGTGAGGGGAAGGAACAGCAAGGACAACGGGTTTTTATGATGAGCTGCAAAATGACATGGCCATTTTCAGAGATAGGGTGGGGATTGTCAGATGAACAGATATGTTGGGGAAAGGATATTTTTACCCTAGAACATGTTAAAGTAGAGATGTCTATTAGATATCCAAGTGGAAATGCTTCATCGGCTGTAGAATCTCTGAATCTGAATTTCAGAGACCAAGCTAGAAACAGTTTGGGGGATCCACAGTTCATAAACTGGCATTTGAAGTGTGTAACTAGGTGAGATCAGCTGGCAAAGGGGGAGCGGTCCAGGGAAGGAGCTCTGAGGAGTGCACACTTGTGGAGACTGTGGATGCCACGAGGAAGGACCAGCTAGTGCATGGTGAAGGGGAAGTCAAAGAGGAAGGAAAATCCCAGAATTTGTTGTACCGGAAGGCAAGTGAAGACATTTCAGAAATGATTAGTCAGTCGACTCTGACAGACGCTGCTCATAAGTCTTAAATAAGATGGGGACTAAATTTAACAGTGGTCTTAGAAAAAAAAAAAAAAGATCATTCATGACTTTGACAAAAGCCACTTCACTGAGATGGTAGTGATAAAAATCTCACTGGAGAATGTTTAAAGGAAGATGGAGGAAGCAGAGTGGAAACAAGTAAAGGCACTCTTGAGTAATGTAGATAGAAGAGAAGAGAATAGGGCCATCCCCAGAAGGAAGCAGAGATTAAAAGGATTTTTTTTTTAGAGATATTTTTGTTATAGGGCACATTTGCTCACCCAGAGAGACAGATAGAAAGTGAGAAATCACACCTCTCCCCACCCTGGCAAGGGAGATGGCCATGCTGCAATGGCTTCTCCTCAATGTTCTTGGGATTTGGGGCATGCATGGACATGCACCCAGGGTGAGTTTAAATCACTGAGTCTGGGACTTGAACTGCCATCAACTATGTGAGAGTCCAACAATCTAACCATTGCATCATCTGCTGGTCTCTTAAAGGGCTTTATAAAAAAGAATGATTTATTTTTATGTATTATGATAATCACTTTCTAATTTGCTGTAGGGCATTGTAGTTTTTAGGAAATAATCTGAACTATTTATAAAGAGTAATAAAGTAGATAATCCAGAACAGAAGAGAAAATTCACCTGCAATTAAAAAGTGCACAGTTATTTCTGGAATGAAACTAATGATTTTCTGAGGCATGGACTGGAGATCTAACATGGAAGAACAGGCTTTGGATAGGGACATGAGGTGTTCATTCCAGTAACAGGAGGTAGCAGTCCACATGTGCACCGGGGCAAGGGTCAGAGATGTGAGACTGGTAGCTGGAGAAGCTCTTTCCAGAATGCTTGCATGTTTTTTCAGCGGTAGACCAGCCTGACAGTGAGCATGCAGGAGGGGGAATTGGAGGTCTGCCTACATCATGTAGGTGAGTTAGAGGGATAGACTGCCTAATAGGATTGCTGAAAAGAACCAGGGACACACTGAGGGTATGACCCTAACCTGTGATCAATCAGCCTAGAGGTCATAAATATTGTTCACAGAAATGAATGAACTGTGGATTTCTCAGTTCTTTTAATAGCATCTGGCTTTGTAGTTGCTAGGTCATTGCAAAGCACTGGAAAGCAGATGTATTTCCTAAAGAGCATTATACATTATTCCTAAAGAGCAAGATCCAATCAAGGCAGTGGATTTGATAGGTTAAAAAAATGCATCATCAGATTTCTTACTAATTCACTTCTAGATGAGAATAAACTCTAAAATGTGAGCAATCATACAGACTTTTGAACAATCACAATAGACTTCAGACATCCTCGGAACATTTTCTCGATTTCATATATTAAGAAACTGAGGTCCAGAAAGGTTAAAGGAGTCCCTTGTCTTCTGCTGTGAATTTTACATTACCTTTTACAGAGAATTTTGAATATTATAGTAAGCATGCTCTTCCAGGTACGTTACATTTTATTCTAATTTTATTCCTTTTACTAGAGCATTCCTGTTTGGTTTTTTCATTTTTGCTTGATCCTACAGTTAAGTAAATTCTTTTTGACAGTTTTGTTATTAAGTTGAGGAAGGTAAG